ATCTCTCTCCTTTCCTTCATAGCCAAGTATCTTGCAAGACTTGTCTGTACTCACTGTCGTCTTATTCTCTCCCCACTCTTGCCTTTAGCTCTTCAACCCCTAGTGACCCAGTGTCTGCTGCCCTGGCAGCCCTTCCTGAAAGTATCAGTCAGGGTCACTGAAGGTCCAGCCATTCTCTGTCGTGTTCACCCTGGGAATGAAACACTCACCTTCCTTAGCTTCCGGGTCACCGCCACCCCACACTCTCCCTTTTTGCTCCGCTGCTTTTCAGCATCCTTTGCAGACTCTTCTTTCACTTACCTCTTAAGTGTTGGAATTTCTCCTGGACTTGCTCCCTGGTGTTTTTGTTCTGACTTCCCATGGTTTCCACTACATTTATCTCTAGGCTGGACCTTTTTCCTGAACTTTCCATTCATGTACTATATTAGTCCGCTCAGGCTGCCAGAACAAAATACCATAGACTGGGTGGCTTAAACAAAAGACATCTATTTCTCACTGTTCTGGAGGCTGAGAAGTCTAAGATCAAGGTGCCAGCCAATTTGTTTTCCTGGCTTGCAGACACTATCTCAGTGGATAGTGACCTTCTCCTATCCAAGATTAACCCTTTCACCTGCCTCTGCATCCCAGCCCCATCTCACCTCTTCTGGAATCTTGAATGGGCAGTTATCTCACCCTCCTGAATCTTCACCTGAATCTTTTACTATGCTGACTTTTTTCCTTACTGCTGATAGATAAGGTCAAGTATTTTCTATGTTAAAATAAAATCAAACCTTCCCTGTCCCTGCATCTCCTCTAGCCTGTGACCTTATCTCTCTCCTTTCCTTCATAGCCAAGTATCTTGCAAGACTTGTCTGTACTCACTGTCGTCTTATTCTCTCCCCACTCTTGCCTTTAGCTCTTCAACCCCTAGTGACCCAGTGTCTGCTGCCCTGGCAGCCCTTCCTGAAAGTATCAGTCAGGGTCACTGAAGGTCCAGCCATTCTCTGTCGTGTTCACCCTGGGAATGAAACACTCACCTTCCTTAGCTTCCGGGTCACCGCCACCCCACACTCTCCCTTTTTGCTCCGCTGCTTTTCAGCATCCTTTGCAGACTCTTCTTTCACTTCCCTCTTAAGTGTTGGAATTTCTCCTGGACTTGCTCCCTGGTGTTTTTGTTCTGACTTCCCATGGTTTCCACTACATTTATCTCTAGGCTGGACCTTTTTCCTGAACTTTCCATTCATGTACTATATTAGTCCGCTCAGGCTGCCAGAACAAAATACCATAGACTGGGTGGCTTAAACAAAAGACATCTATTTCTCACTGTTCTGGAGGCTGAGAAGTCTAAGATCAAGGTGCCAGCCAATTTGTTTTCCTGGCTTGCAGACAGCTGCCTTCTCCCTGTGTCCTCACATGGCAGAGACAGGGATGTCTGTCATGTGTCTTCTTATAAGGGCACTAAGTCCATCCTGAGGGCTGCACCTCATGACCTAATTACTGTTCAAAGGTCTCATTTCCAAGTACTATCACATTTGGGGTTAGGGCTTCAACATAGGAATTTGGGGGTGACACATTCAGCCCATGGTATACACACAGCCTAGTGGGTATCTCCCCTTGACTGTTACACAGACTTACAATTTCAACAGGTTGAAAACTAAACTCATCCTTTTACCTACAATCTTCCTCCTCCTGAATTTCCTCTAAAAGATGCCAGTCTCCACTCAGTCACCTACATTAGACATTTAAAAATTCATCCTACGCATATTCCTGCTCCCCCCCATAACTGGTCAGCAAGTGCTGTGATTTCTGCCCCCTGAAGACCTTTCAAATCTGTCCCCTCTTTTTTTTAATTGTCAATCCCTTAGCATAGCCCTTGTATTTTTCAGCTAGAGTATTGCTTTTCCTTGTCCCTTCTGGAGCTCTCTATCATGCCATCTCTAGAGTGAAATTTTAAAGAATGAAAATCTTTTGGTATTACCTGCTTTCAGTTCTTCAAAATAAAATCCTGGGGCCGGCCCGGTGGCGCACCGGAGAGTGCGCCGCTTGGGAGCGCAGCGGCGCTCCCGCCGAGGGTTCGGATCCCATGTGGAGACCGGTTCCCGCTTACTGGCTGAGCG